TCGAGCTATCGGTCGCCATCAAGCCATTCACCACCAACCAGGAGTTCTAGGCGATCTCAGGGTGAACAACATATCATGCTCTATTGGGGCACCCATTGATACATGGTTTGGCCCTGGTTCCATCCACATATCATCAATGCTTCAAGGCCAAATACAGAGGCTGTGTAGTGGGGATCACAACAACCCGCGTCCTATTCAATAAAACTGAGACCCACCTCCAAGATGCGATCGACTACACAAAGCTGGCCGAAGAAGGTGAGACCAGAGTGGGCAAAGTAGAAGGTGTACAACTGCCAAGCCCAGGAAGTGAGCCTCCTTCAGCACCCAAGACAGAGGAGTGATCCAAGTATGTGTGGATCACTAGTAAGAGCGGGGAAACTTATTACACAATTGTGGAAGAGTATGAGGATGCCGACACACCAACCACCAAGAAGGCCATCTTCAAGGTATGACTTTATTATTGTTATTTATTATATATCGGTGTAAATCATATGTCTCCACAAATAAAGAAATATATGCATGCATTCTGAATTTTGCCTCAATCAGAATTATTTTACCATACCATCTTCACAAGAGGACATCGCGATAATCTCATCGCAAATGGATTGTGAACAAACAAAGAAAAGCCCATCAAAATCAAAGGTAAAACACAATACATTTATACATACAATTAGCAACAAAAGGAAATACTAAAAATCACTTAAGTAATAGGGGCACAACAAGGAAACAGTAGAGTACTACAATGAAACCCACACGCCCCCTAAGCACATGCAAGATTCCAATGGCGTTGTGGAAGAACCACTAGAAGAGGTCAATATGGCTGCAGAAGGAGTAAAGAAAAGGCCATTGTATATTTTGGCCAAGTTAGAACCTAAGGAAAAATAGAGGCTGCTAGATCTTTTGAAAGGTACAAAAACTTTTCTTTTCCCAATCGCAAAATTAGAGCACATGTTAAACATGACAGAACTGTGTTTTCTCTCATATCGATAGAATTCCAAGACGTTTTTACTTGGTCATACAACCAGATGCTTGGATTGGACTTGGCACTAGTTAAGCACTCACTATGCATCGATCCTAGGTTCCAACCTATGAAACAGCCACAGAAGATCTTCAAGCCAAAAATAGCACTAAAAATCAAAGTGGGGATCGAACGACTTTTGAAAATAGGCTTCATCAAGCCCATCGCTCACCCACAGTGGTTAGACAATGTGGTCCCAATCAAAAAGAAGAATGGACAATTAAGGTTTGTACCCAGGTCCTAGTGCATTAGGCTCAGTTTGGAAGGAGTACAAATACAAACACATAGAGTGCAAACTGAGCTTTAGTTTACAGTCATCAGAACGAAATTAGTATACTGACTTTTCCCACCCCTACCCTAGGTGTTGTGTCAACTTCAGGGACCTGAATAGGGCCTACCCCAAAGACAAGTTCCCGTTGCCAAATATGGATATCCTCATTGACTCAATGGACAACAACCAGTTGTTCTCCTTCCTAGGGAACTATAGTGGATATAATCAGATATATGGAGCTACATAACAAGATGATGCTCTTTGGCCTGAAGAATGCTGGAGCCACATAACAAAGAGTGATGACAAATGTATTCCATGACATGATGCATAAGGAAATTGAGTGCTATATAGATGACATAGTGGTGAAGGTGAAGAAAAAAGAAGACCACTCCAACGTCCTTAGAAAAGTGTTGACCAAATGTAGGGCCTCTAACCTAAGGCCCAATCCACTGAAGTGTGCGTTCGGAGTATAGTTAGGGAAGTTTTTGGGGTATAAAGTTGATCAGACCGGCATACACCCAAATGAAATAAAAGTGAAAGCAATCTTGGACCTACCTTTCCCAAAGACCTAGTCACAGACAAAAATCTTCCTAGGGAAAGTCTCCTACCTCAGAAGGTTCATCCCTGGCTTAGAACATGTAGCAATGCCCCTGCTAAAGTTGACTAAGAAATTTGCAGAGTACAAATGGACCCTAACCTCCGATGGGAGCAGCACAAACACCTCCATAGGAGCCGGAGTCACATTGACTTCACCTACCGGAGATACTTCAGCCTATTCCTTCAAATTACAATTTCCTTGTTCACACAACATAGCAGAGTACGAGACACTTGTATTAGGCCTAACAGTAGCTAGGGACTCCGAAGCAAAGAAAGTAAAAGTAATAGGGGACTCTAAACTAGTAATTAGGCAGATGAATGGCAATAGAACAGTGAAGGAGTTAGCGATCATGCCATATAGGGCACTGATCCAAATGTTAATCAGGGACTTGGAAGTAACCTACAAGCACCAGAATAGAGCTAAAAATAGACAAGTCGATGCATTAGCCACACTGGGATCCAAAATACAACCAAGTGAAAACCCGATCAACACAACAATCTAGATGCACTGTGAACCGTCAACAGAAAGATTAGGGCATTAGGTTGAAACAAAAGATGACGTAAAAGAGGATGATTGGAGACACAGCATAATACAAAAGCTGAGTAACCCAACAGAGGCGATGTAGGATGGAAAAGTCTTACTAAGGTTCCAACTGGTGAGTGGAGTGTTATACTAGAGAATGGTAGATGGAGTCAGGGCAAAATGCTTAGGGCCCAAGGAAGGAAGTCTAGGAATTTTCTCCTTTTTTGAAATTTTATTTTTTTATCCCATGCCATTTTTGAAATAACCAATAAGATGCTCTCCTTTCCCATAAAATTACCTAAAGTCTCTCTCTCTCTCTCTCTCTCTCTCTCTCTCTCTCTCTCTCTCTCTCTCTCTCCCACATGTTCCTAATAACCTAAATAATCTCCCCTCCTAAAATTTCTCCTAAACTACCTCCCCTACTTTCTCCTAAATTATCTCAAATTCCTATTTATCCTCTTCCATACTATTATTTAGATATTCTAATGGAATTATATAATAACTTTAAAATATTTATTAAAAACACAAAAAAATATAATAAATTTAATAATATTCATATTATTAATAAGTTTAATTTTTACAAGATTCATCACGCACGAAATTTTGTACTGACAATATAAATTATGATTTTCTGGATCATTCAATTTAAATGTTATTCAAATAACAAAAAATTAACATAAAAGAGAAATATTGTTTAAATATTTCAATAACTAAATATCTTAAATAACAAGATATTAAATATTTTCAATACTTTAAATATTATTTAAATCTTAAGTAACTAAGTATTTAAAATAACAAAAAATTTAACATAACTAGATTTCGAATAGTTAAAATAACGAAATCACATAATAAATTTAAAAACTTTTCTTAAAAGTAGAAAAACAATTATAACATAATATTCAAAATAAGAATAATTTAATATTTTACAAAATTAAAAACGAAATTATGTAATAATAGTGTAAATTATAATAATTTTATGGATTATTAAATTCAATAAATAATTAATATTATAAATTTTAAATAATGATATTGTTTAAATCATTAAATAATATTGTAAATAGCTAATTTCACTTTTATCAATTCATTGATATTTATTAATAGTAATTTTAAAATCTTAATATATATCTATTCTAGAAAATAAACTTCTAATAATTATGTATAAATCTATTTTTGTTTTGTTATTTAACAAAAAAATTTCAATAATTATTGGAGATTAAACTATTATTATTTAACTTTTTAAATTTAAGTTATTATACATATTGTATTTTCGTTATAATTTATTAATTAATATTTGTTAGAGATTAAACTTTTATTTGAGATTACATTGTTTATTGACTAATTTAATATATTTTTATTATTTATTGTATTCTTTTAATTTTTGTATTTATTGTATTTTTATCAATTTTTATTGTATTTTCATTATCAATATATTTTCAATAATTGTGTATTTTCGCTATAAATTTTCAATAATTATTAGAGATTAAACTATTGTATTTATTGGAGATTAGACTATTAATTTATTTGAAATTAGGAATGTTCATGGGTTGGTTCGGTTTGGTTGTAGATTGTCGATTAACCATTAGTGAAAACCGGCCAACTCAAGTTAGGGTGCAAGTTGGACAGGTTGGGCTAGGTTTATGGTCAACCCGAGCTTGACCCTAAAATTTGGGCTTAAGGCCCGAGCCTAGACCCAGCCTGAGGTCAAGCCCAATTTTCCCAACCCGAGCCTAGCATACATTGTAATTTGATGCACTCGGGTTGAGTTCGGGCCTAGACCAGGCTCGGGTTGGTCAATGAACCCACTCTAAAATTTTACATATATATGTATATTTATGCAAATATGTATAAATATGTATGCAAAATTTACATGTATATATATATATATATATATATATATATATATATATATATGTATGTATGTATAAATGTGTATAGTTGGGTTGGGCTCAGACTAGGCCCGGGCTACCTAAGAACTGGGTCAGGCCCGGCCCAAAAAAAATAAAAAAGTGCAACTTTTTGGGATGGAGCCCAGCTTGAGGACTAAAAATCCAAACCCAACCCGTGTAAAATTTCAAGCCAAGTCAATTCGGGGTCAAGTTAGGCTGACCTAAGTTGCACCCCTAACTCAGGTTGCATCGATTTGGATCAACTTTTGGTTTAGTTGGTCGGCTCAAAAGATTTTAAACTTAAAAAAATTAAATTTAAAAATTAGGTTTAAATTTAAAAAATTACAATGGCATTATTAAAAAATAAATTTATTATATAAAATATTTTAAATTAAAAAATATAGAAATTTTCTCTTTCTCGTATTAAAAATTATATTTAAAATATAAAATATTAATGTATATCTATAATCGGATCATTCAATTTTGATCGATTTACAAATAGCAAAAATGAATTTGATCCAACCTGATCGAATTGGAAAATTATTGAACCAAAACCGACCGAAAAACTAAACAACTCAAATATTATACAGACAATTATATATTCTTGTATGTTTTTATTGTTTAGTTTTGGCTTAACAAACCCTGTGCATCGCACGGTCCGAGGTCCCCGCTAGTTCCATTGAAAAAAACTAAGAGTCTCCACAATTCAATCACAAGAAATACAATAAACTCTATACATATTTTTTCATACAATAATCGAACAAGTGTCCAACAACAGCCAGAAAGATACTGTACAGACGAGAAACTGATTTCCGTTCATCAGTCCTAAACAATATGACAACAAAGTATTAATGGGAGAAAGAACGATGCACCTTGAGATCAGGTGGTTTAAATAAATAATCCCTGCGGATGGAATGATGGCCCAAATATTTGTTTTATATGGAAAAAGAAAGGGATAAAAGAGAGCCACGATGATGGCGAGTCTGCTTTCTTCTATGCCACATACTCAGACGAGCTACGGTAGATCTCATTCGCATGAGTTGTGGGAACGTATATTGCATTCTGAAGCGAACTATGAGTCCGTCCATAAAATATGTAAATGAGCACGCCAGCAATCAGCCATATCGAAACTCGGAACCATGTGGAAGCCCTGAGGTCGCAAGGAAAAATATTAGAGAGCGACGAAGAAACATAGTTCAACAAAAATATACCAGATAATAAGAGAGAAACATGTCGAATTTCTATTTTTTCTCATAGGGGGTGTTCTACAACATGAATTTTTTTGTTAGTTGTTTTTGAAATCACCATATCAGCAAAAAACAAAAACCCATTCTTAAACTCTGGTTTTGTTTTGAAAGAAAAATACAAGTTTTGTTTCAAAAAAACAAAAATAATGATTTCTAAAAAAATTGTACTGTAGAAATCATATGATATGATTATGATATTAAATAACCAGAAATTCAAGAACACTGTATTGGGTTTCAGTTTTGGAAATGAAAAATACATATAACCAAGAACATGTTTCACGTATTTTGTTTTGAGAAAGAATTTGTTTTCAAACCAGTTGGTTTTGTTTTGCTTTTGGAACCGGCAACCAAAAAAAAAAAAACAATTGACAATAGAGAACACCCCCATATTTTCTATCAAACTAAAAACAGCCTGAACAAAGGGCAAAAAGAACAGTGAATTACTCACCCAAGATTTATTAACAAGTAAACGTTTATGAGAATGCAGGCAATAGGCAGAAGTGGTACAAAGGGGCAAATGAAACCTGCATGGATGCCAACGGATTCCATCAATTTACATCTAACTTTTTGCATGTATGTGGAGTTTTGTTCCATGGTACAAGTTAGAATTACATTGCAGGGTAATATACAGGCAAATCCATATAGAAGTTACAACTGTACTATCAACCCGGTCCACAAAAATTAGCAGTCCCACCCTAAGTTTCTACGGCCATGCCTAGGCACTAAGCATCTTCCAGACAGAGTGGTTTCTTGGTCTAGGTGATGCCTAATGAGTTGACAAAAAAAGAACAGAAGAAAAAAGAAAACATTGGATGTGACTCATGATATAGCTAGTCCCACTTATTATCATGTCATTAGTGCAGCACTGCAGCTAGGATAGGTGGTCAATGACCATATAGATCTTGCTGAATTCATTATTGTGACACAGAATGAAAATTACCTCCTACATGTCCGAAGGCATGCCTAGCATCATCTTGATCTATCCAGGAGAGCACAACCAGACCACATAAAATGAGTGCGCCACCCAACCCACACACCATGAATCGAGGTAAACTGATAAAAGCAACCAAAGTCAGAAGCAAAGCAGTGTCAAAGGAATCAAAACTAATTACTGTACACCTTTTTTTATCAGTACTGTCACTACTGTACCTTTTATACTGAAGAAGTAATTGTAACCTTTGAATAAAAAAATATAGACATGATTTCTTCTTATAGTTACAAAACTCAAATGTATGGTCATATGCTGCATCCACGCTGTAATCAGAAGTACAGATTTAATTTCTCTGGGTACACAATGACATTTGTGTAATTATAATAATCATGGACAGGATAAAGTAGTTTTACAGCCTCCACGCTGTTAAAGGTATCCAAAGAATTATAGTTTGAAATTTAAAAGCTAAATAGAACTCCAAGATTTTATACCTGCAAATTCTTAAGCTTTACTAGATCTTCACATAAGCCTAGAGTAACTAGTCTAGGACATCAACTTGACTCATCAATCAATAAAACCAGAAAAACCCAGTAAATATAAATTTCAGAGCAGCACAGGAAGAGCTTCTGAACAGAATCTACCTTGGTAGATGTTCAGCTGAAGCTGCAGATGTAAGAAGCAGAACCCCTACACAAACAAATGCAATATTCCATGCAGCAGCCTTTCGCCTCTTTTCTTCATTTAACCTAGCTGCAACAATGGAAGTAAAAGTGATCATCTAGTAGTTCCTTGAAGATGGAAGGTGGAGGTGAATAATAAAAGACAAACTACAAAAAAAATGTTAAAAATTACATATAAGGAGAGGATATCAAAGAGAACAAAAAGATGGATTACTGGACTGTCAGTTCCAGCTGATCAATAACATAACCATTTTTCCCTGGCAATAATATAGTCATATATCTGAAAAGGAGGCACTGATAAATAACTACTCCTAGTTGATATTGTTGAATATAGAAAATAAAACCAAGAAAAAAAGAGCATCTACTGTTAAAGAATCTTGTGAGTATCTAACATTGATTTACTTATACAGAAAGTGATATTAAATGCTAAACATACATCTTTCCAATCCAATATTCCTCAAACAGAGAATTTAAACTGTATCTTTGATTCCTGATGTCAAATGAACAAGTAGGAAAAGAAATGAAATGAAGTATCACTTATTTGTGGAGGGTTTCTGTACAGTGTGTGCCAAACATGAACACTTGATTAAGTCCAAATAACACTGCAAATAGTTTTAAGTGAATGACTAAGTCTGACCAATTGCATTGTTAATCATTAATCAACCCCACTCCATGAATGCATGACAATGACACCTGTATGACTACATATTTGACTGACCAATTCATCTGGGTAACACCTTGGATATCAGAGTTGACCAATGAGCAATTTAACTTGATCACCTTGATCATGTTCTTTCAGAATAAGGGGATCTGAAGCTGATGCTTCAGTATTATCTTTAGAATTGTCTGCAGAATCTTTTGGATTTTCCTGGTCAATCACTTCACTTCCAGTACCATATCGTGATGATACTGAATTAATTGTCTCCTGAAGTGATGATGGAAGTGGCATTTCATCTGGTGGAACGTATCTGAGTATCAAAATAGAAACTGCAACAGTGGTAAATGCAAGAAGCGTGCCCACACTGACCTGCAAAGAAACATCTAAATATCAGCTATTCATAATATACAGAAAATCTATAAAATGATTGCAATCAACTAGGTTAAAACATGTAGTTCAGCTAACTGATCTTCATCCTGTGGAACCCCATTTAGTAGGCAGTAGAAGGTTCTACCAAGCCTTCCATGAGGTATACATCTAATGGTTCAAATATATATAAAGATGGATCCTATTGGGAACTTTCCAATACCAAAGTATTCTAATCAAATGATTGTAGCCTTACATCCTTCAGTAGAAGGTTCTACCAAGCCTTCCATGAGGTATCTAATGGTTTAAATATATATAAAGATGGATCTTACTGGGGACTTTCTAATACCAAAGTATTCCGATCAAATGATTGTAGCCTTACATCCTTGACATTATGGATCAGAAAGTAGGTGATTAATTGTTAATCTTATGTGTGTGCACTAATTGTTATATACATCATCTAATTATAACCATTCAGCAGTTTAATACATGCTGGATATTTCCATATGGCCCCCACCCTTTGCATGTGCACCATGTATAGTAATTCTTTTATCAGATTAGGTGTAGGATTTTCATTATTATCAATATACTTATAGATTCAAATTCAAACACAACGAAGTGGACATCTTCTGACCTCAAAAATTCTCCATGAGATCAACTTACCATCCCTGCAAGTTGTGAAACATCCATAAAGAATGCTAGGATTGCAGCACAAACCCCGGTAACAATTGTGCTATTGACAGGAACTTGGGTTCGCTTATGGACATCAGAAAAGAAGGCTGGAAGCAATCCATCTCTAGCCATTGCCATTAGGATTCGAGGCTGGGAAAAATAAGTACATTTAATTTCATCAGGGAGAAAATTTTCTGTTCAAAAAGAGAAACAGTATAACAAAATAATGAAATGCATAATTAGTTAAAAAGAATTTCCAACAGTAATGATTGCAGGAGTAAACCCCGTGTCCATTTTCTGACATTAATAAGTTGAGTACCTAAGTGGCCAGTGGGTAAAACATGCAATTTTAAATGTAATAAAAAAACCCCAGTACTGGATTGCCAGATTTCCCTTTTTAGCTATGTTAAAACCTAAGATATATTATTAAGAAATTTAAGCAGATAAAGGTTAATTTCAGATAAGACAAATGACACATAGATAAAGAGCACAAAAAGATTCCTCAATGGAAAATGGTAAATTTTGAATAATCTAGATCCAGATTCTTCCAAGAGAAAGTTCACTATAAATAAGACAAAAGCGCCTCCTCTATTCAAGTATCCACCCATTAATCAATGCTCTAAATTCCAACAGTGAAAAAAGTCCGTTCCTTCTTTATCTTATTTTTGTACTCAAAAAGTTTCTGGCATTCCAGTGCAATGTGACGTTTTGCCAAAACTTTCACTAAATTTCCTGTTCCAAGTTTGGTCAAAACCTAAAAGGGAAGCCTTTCTGCAAAGTAGCAATTGAACTATAGGTTCTTCAGTCTCCTCTATGCTTGAGCAAGAAGTAAGGTCTCTATGGTGGAGATTTGGGGCCTGCATTTGCATATTAACAAATATCAAGGTGAAGGGAAAGAAGTGAAGCATCTGTGGAGAAGGATTGTGTGAAGGGTGAGATATATGGGACACCTAGACAAGGTAAGAATGGAGGAAGATAAGTTCATGCAGTCTGCCACTTGGAAAAGATACATGAAGATTGAAGCCAAACAGTTTCTTTTCAAAAGCTTCAGGATGAAAAGGTAATCAGCTTTGAAGATTAGGGAGATGAAAAGGGCAATGGTATTTTTGATTGGTGAAGAGGTTATTGGATGGTTCAAGACCTTCATAGAGGAAGAATCTCAGGTGGGTAGGAAGGACTGCAAGGGGGTAAAAGAAGAAGGTGATAGAAAGTACATGGCAGAAACCAGGCAAAATGCAAAGGGCAGATTTCCGGTGCTTGTGGAATATTTCGGAAATGGAAAAAAAAAAAAAAAACAATTGGTATGCTTCCCAGAAGGAAAGATGGGTGCCAGGTGGAAAGAAGTTTTAGGCAGGCTGAATGATTTCACTGGCTGGCTGAATGGACTGCAAGAGACCTGGAGAGATACAGAGATACCTCAGGAGGAAAATAGAGGTCAAGTTGAGAAGGTGCAGACTCAGTGCGAGGAGGTGGATACTTTGGTAATAGTTGGTCATCCTGTAAGTGCTGGTAAAATAATCACTTGTGCTTCCAAGGAAGACTGGGAAAAAGAAACTAATAGTAACAGCTAATGCACCACCTAGAAATTGCAGATTAATAGCTGAGGAGGTATTAAAGGAGCTGAAACTAACTGTACCATTATTATAACACCCTTCGAGGACTGTAAAGCCCTTTTGGAAATTGTTGGGAAAGACATTGGAATTGATGCTGTTTGCTTGAAGTTGGATTCAGGCACAGTGACTGTGTCCAGATGGTCACCGTCTAATTCCAAGAACTTTGGTGTGCAAGACAGTTTTGGTTCGGCTTCTAGGATTACCCTTTCATTTATGGAATACAGAAGTGTTTTGCTCCATTGCCTCTCTCTGTAAGGCTCAGTTAGATGGCATTTTGTGAGAAATCTGCATTCAACAGTGGTATGGTTGAGCAATGTTCTTCCTGTAGACATCCCTAGAATGGTGAAGGTGTGGTCACACAGTCATCCACTCTGTCTGGTTGGTAACCGCCATTGAAGCTTCTCTGTGGTGTGAAGGAAGGTTGAAGATGAAAAGGTAGAAGTAGTTGGGCTATGTGGAAGTAAGGGAGTAGGTAAGAAAATTGAAGCTGGACAGAGTCACTGGAGGAAAGGCATGTGCCAGGTCCTATCTACAGGTGCTGACAGAGGGCAGCCTTGGGCAGACAAACAGTAGACAGGCTGCACTGGTAAGGCAAGCTAATAGTGCTGTGGACTGAACCCAAGCTCATTAGGCTCGTCTGCTCAGAAGGAAAAGGTAACGAGCGATTTTAATTTGAGTATGCATTGTGTGCACCCATGGGTGCACTGGTCGAGTGAACCCACGAATCACGTTTGACCATGTCGACCAGGGGAAGGACGGATAACATTAACGGTCAAACACCCATTAACATTGGTTTGGCAGTTCAACTGGCCTTAAACTGGCCACAAAACGACAAAAGGTAAATAAAATGAACCAAACCACATTTTGCATTTCCCCTGGATGCTTTTCCTCGCTCCACCGAACTCTACCCACACACCAGCGACCATACCACAGCGAGTGACCCAAACCAGCAGCCATTGGCAGCAACGGCGAGAGCTCTGGCAACACATTTCCCCTGGCTACTCAGACGAGAAACCACACACCTGGACATGGCGACCATACTCAGACGAGATATCTAAATGCATGGGTTGACTCCACCGATTTGAGGGTTCTATGAGATCGATCTGCCTGATGCATTCTTTAGTTCATATAGTGAAGATCTCTGTGGAAGGCCAAGCTAGAGCAGGGCACTTGAGAAGGGAAAAAGAGACTGAGCTAATTAAACTTAAGTTCATACAAGTAAAACTGGAAATATAAGGAGTTAATTGACAAATCTGCTAGCAATATTTATCAGTTCTTCTCAAAGGAAAATCATATGTCCCCCTTTGTTTTGGGTAATGGGACCCTTGGTTTCTATGTGTTTTGGGTAATGGGGCCCTTAGTTTCTATGTGTTCAAACAGGAAAATTGCCCTGAACATAGAGGGATCCAGATTACAGTAACCATATAACCAGTTCATCAGTTGGGTTACAACGGGAAAATGAAAAAAAGAGAGTATATTTAGTTGTGAAATTAGTTACCAAACCAATGAATTAAATCTTTAAATTAAGAAATTTCACCCTTGGTCTGCGTTTTTGTCAATGTAGAAGAGGGCAAGAAACAAATCTTTTTCTCTGGAAATGCAATTCAATGACTCAGAGTGAACTTGTTTTCTCAATATATATATATATATATATATATATATATATATATATCCAGTTAGTTTGACAGTTGAGCAATGATATTGCCAAATACTTCTGCTAGCTGGTACAAATTACAGAGTTACAGTGGGTCTTCGTGAGACACCTAATACAGCATTCCTCAAGCTTTGGTTGCATCTTTTAACTCCAAATCATCTACTCTTCTACCAGCCAAAATGACAGTACTTGAGCAAACCACCCAGACTCCTCCCTGCAACACACTCACCATTTGAGGACAACCTCATCTTCTGCCCTTTTCCTGGTTAAATCGAGCAGTTATAATATCTCAAGCTACAGACTGATAGTCAGTCAGTCTCCTTCACAAAAATAGTGCAGCTTGTGCTCAGTTGTCTGCTGAAGGATGAAAAATTCAAACTTGAATTTCAGCAATCACAATTGCAGGTGTTGGGAGCACAACCACCTTGTGTCGATATTCAAAGCTGGTCAGTGTTTATTGTGACAACCCAGAACCCAGGTGGGTGATTTCTGTTGACACAAGAAGCCCCCTGTAAGAACCGATATTCAAAGCTGACTTTATCCAGAAGGTTGAGGATTCGTGGAGAAAAGAGGTTCAAGGAGTCTGGTGGAAAGGTGTAAGATTTCATAGGAAGTTGCAAAGGCTTAAATGTGTAATTATAGAGTAGAGAGTGGAATAGAGATCATTTCAAAAGAATTGAGGAGAGGAAACTAACTGTAATTTCTCAAAACGAGCTTTTGGATAGAAAGGAGAGTCAAGGTGTGATAAGTGAGGAAGGCAGGATTATGAGATGGTCCTTGAAAAAGGAGATGGAAGAAATCCTTTTGAGGGAAGAGATAAGCTGGAGACAGAAATCAAGGCACCAATGGATTAAAGAGGAGGATGGTAATACTAAGTTTTTCCATGCACTTGCTAATGGAAGAAAAAGAAAAGAACTTTGTGGAGAAATTAGAAGTGAATGGAGAAACTTTGATTGATCAAGAAGAGACTGCTAATTGCTTTGTGGCTCACTTTAAATCTGTTTATAGGAGACGAGAATGTGGGGGCTACTTTGGAAGGTTTTGAATGGCCTAGGTTAAGTCAGAGTTGGTAAGAATGTTGGAAAAGGATTTTGATCTGGAGGAGATAAGGGGGGCAATGTTCTAAATGAAAGGATCAAAAGCCCCTAGACTGAAAGGTTTTACTATGGCATTTTATCAGGATTTTTGGGAGATAGTTAAATCGAACCTTCTTAGCCTTGATCCCAAAGAAGGGAGAAGCCACCCAATCAAGAAATTTCAGACCAAATAGCATGGTAACTAGCATTTACAAAATCTTGGCAAAGGTGTTGCCTCTGAGACTGAAGCTAGTCCTTCCCATCTTAATAAGCCACCCTCAAGGGGCATCCATTCAAGGTAGATAGATCACAGACCAGATATTGATAGCTAATGAATGTGTGGAGGATTTTAGGAAAAGGGGAAAGAAAGCTATGGTTAAAAAGCAAGTTGGTGTTAAGTTTTGAGACATGGAAAACAGAGGGAAGAATTAGGGTTTGTGTAGCCTTAATGTCTCCCTTCTTGAAATTGGAGTAAGGGAGCCATCAGTTCGTAAGTGTTAAACAAATAGAAGCCACTAGTCATTTGGTTTGATGCATCAAATCAATTATCCAAGGAGTACTAGGATTACCTGAGATAGTAGAATGGTTAGGAATAGTACAAGTACCTGAATAGGCATATACAAAAGAGGATGCACCAACTGGTTGCAACCAATAGTATCTTCAGGAAGGGTTAGAAGCTTGCTATATCTCAAATTTAGCCCTAATGCTGCAAGAGTCTCTGCCAAAATAAGAGGTTTGTCTACATTTTGATTCGGTTACTTATTCTCAGATGTTGCCATATTGACATTACCACTTCTAATAACAGGC